GTCCTTCTCAGGCTGATTCTCTAAAATCTACATACAATCTATACCTGGTCCATTTCTCAGGACACCACACGGTTAGTTTTCCATCTTTTCCTCTAAATAAGCATAATCTGTTATTCATTCTTACGAAGATTATAGACTAAATCATAGAATCATAGAATCATGAAGGTTGGAAAAGACCTCTCAGATCCCCCAGCCCAACCACCAGCCCACCCCCCCACGCCCACTGCCCACGTCCCTCAGTGCCACATCCACACGGCTCCTGAACACCTCAGGGACGGTGACTGCACCACCTCCCTGGGCAGCCTGTGCCACTGCAGCACCGCTCTTGCTGCAAAGAAATTCTTCCTAACATCCAAGCTGAACCTCCCTGATGCAACTTGAGGTCATTTCCCCTTGTCCTATTGGTTCAACAACATAAATAGATCAGATCTTTTTTCAGATATCTTGATCTCCAAGAGGCTTCAACTGCCTCCAAAGGTGTGTGGAGGAGAATAATGTAAGGAGTTGTTTTCTCTGATCTTTTTAGCCATTGGATATCTTCTGAAATCCTATTTTTCAGGATCCTGTATGTCCAAATCCTGTCTGTCTCAGCTCTAATTCAGGCAATTATTCTGCATTAACACTTTTCAAAACAAACAGAAGTTAAAAGCAGGGGAATCAAAATTTCTGCACCGCATGTTAATCCAGGGGGAACATTATCACATTGTCATGGATTTTATACATGGGATTTAAAGCGTAGGGAGCAAGAGAACCAAATGTGTAAAGTTATTTGGGATATTAGGCAAAAATATTTCACAGAAGAATTATCTGCAGTGGTGTTACATTACCAGCCAAGGATTATTGCTTTTGGCATTTCTGTCACTGTGCCATTTGCTATCTAGACAATGGTCCCTTGTTAGCAGCAAGAGATGGCACAGAAGAAACAGCTACTTGAATTGAAAAGAAGTGGCTCTTCAGTGAAGCTGATTATGAACGCTTGTGATTGTTTCTGCTTGCAGTAGATATGCTGAACTTGCTTTTCACGTTCTGCTGCATTAGGTAAAAGATCTTGGAGAAAAATAAATGCAGTGTTACAGTATACCCAGGGTGAGCCATAGAGCAGTGCATATTCACTAACACAGTAATGATAGCCTTCCAAGAAAGTAAATGCTGAACAACTTGTCTGACATCAACACTTCTCTGTTTTCCATAAGAACATCAATAGTCAGGGTTCTTTTCAATGTGCTACTGATGCAGGGTGAGATTTTCTGAGGTGCTGAGCAACCACTTCTTCTCCCTCTTCCCACCTCCTCCTCAGCATCAGTGATTGCTGTTAGCACTTCATGATTCTGGAATTAAAAACCTGCTATTTTCTCAAGAAGAAGAAGGATATTGTGCTTAAAATGTATTTTCTTGGTGCATTTTATTACTAAAATCACCTTTAATGCCTGAAAGTGGGTCATGACAGGGACACAGGGGCTGTGCTGCTTCATGGGCAGCTGTGGAAAGTCTGTGAGAAATGGTGCTAAGTGGTAGCTGAACTCATCATGGGGTTATCTCTTTCCTCCACCTCCTTTCCAAAGTGCAAAGAGTGTTCATAAGAAAAACCGTGTAAGAAAGGTGAGAAATCTCTTCTTGTTCCCACACAAAGGAATTTATTGGCAAAAGTATCAAGTATTGAAGAGACAGAGAAACGAACTGTCCTGATTGTGACGTCCTGTTAGTTTGCAGTTAACAGACAAACCAACCAAGTTCAATCATGAAACGTTACCTGCCTGTTTTTCCACTCAGTGCAGTAATTTCTTTAGGCTCTCATTATTCAACAAAACACAGGTTGGTGGGTGCCTGCAGCTGAGTTATTCACCCACTCCAAAGAGGAGAAAGGGAAGGAAGGCAGAGCTGGAAAAACAGAGCTGGAAAGTACACCGGAGACATGGAACAGCTTGATATCACTGTACAGGTGCTAATTTGTTAACACAGGGGGAAAAGAGAAAAGGGAAGAGAAAAAGGAAAGAGAAAAGAGAGAGAAGTAGAAGAGGAAGGGAAGGAGAAAGGAGAGGAGAGGAGAGGAGAGGAGAGGAGAGGAGAGGAGAGGAGAGGAGAGGAGAGGAGAGGAGAGGAGAGGAGAGGAGAGGAGAGGAGAGGAGAGGAGAGGTGAGGAGAGGAGAGGAGAGGAGAGGAGAGGAGAGGAGAGGAGAGGAGAGGAGAGGAGAGGAGAGGAGAGGAGAGGAGAGGAGAGGAGAGGAGAGGAGAGGAGAGAGAAAGGAAAATGAAAAGACCCAAAGAAAACAGTTAAATGATGTGTATGCATATTTGTTTTATAACAAAGTGGATTGAATCCTGTGGCCAGCAGTGAAGTATTGTTAATAGATATTTATGTTATTTCTCTGTACTGAAATGTCATGTTTGAATACAAGCAAAACATACTTGACTTGCCTGTCCTTCCTGTGCTATTATTGTAAACAAGCAGATTCAATCCTTAATGCTCAGTAAGATTTCCTCTAATTTCCTTTTGGAAATGGTTTTAAGCAAGATAAGGCACTAAAATTTAATCCTAAGTGTGCAAATACTGAATCCTTGGCACGGACACAATCTTGTCATGAATTTATATGGGAGCTTTAATGGTTTTGTAAATTAATCAATAATGTGGTTAAATTATATTTGCTCAGCTAATTATATTCCATGTCCTGTAAATTAGAACTTCAGTAGTCTTTAAGAACAATCAATGCTGCTGCTTCTCTCATATTTGTGTTTTCTTACTGCTATGTTATTAAAACGTTTGTTTATTTGCTCTGCTACAGGCTTTTAGAATTTTCTTTGCTGTTTGAATGGCAGCCATGGGGATGCCAAGACATGCAATGATTTCTACATTATTATACATTTAATATGCCAGATCCATTTAAGCAGTGTCAAAATATTATACATTTATAGCCTCCTGAAAATCCTTCTAGTTTCACCTTTGGGAGAACTGGATTTAACCACTTTCTTCCCCCAGGAAACCATTGGGACTTCTTAATGACTAAAATGGATCTTGGCTGGGTTCTCGTCCTCATGACTTTGAAGGGCATGGCATGAGTTGGACTTGATGACACCCAAAGTCTCCTTTCAAACTGAATGATTCCTTGATTCTATGGCTCAGATTGTCCATGAACTTCTCTCCACCCAGTTTTCTTAAAGTTCCTCACCTAGACTCTCATCACTTAAGGGTCTGTATGACAGGAATAGTTTACAGTACTCAGAGCATCAAGTGATTTGGTTACACAGATCCAGACTCCCACACACAACATCAGGAGGAGCAAACCCAAAAAGCAGACAACTTTATTCCTTCTCACCCACGAAAATGCTTTTGGAGCTGCTATGGGACAAACTGCATTGTTCAGAGCAAGTGTTAGGAGAGAAACGGAATCAGCAAGTTTGATTTCAGAGATGAACTTAGCCAAAAGAGTATAATGGAAAATCAGCTGGCCACAAATCTGGGCTCAAGGGATCAGAAGGAGAAGGAGAGGATGCCTACCTTCATCCTTCCAGCATGTCTCTGTAAGCAGCAGCCTGCTGCAGAGATTGGGAAGGCAGGTGGCTGTGGCATCCAAAATGTATACGGAAAGATTTGTAGAGTACTTCTAAACCATACTTTTATGCAGACATATAGAAACACACCCAGGAAGTATAAAATATTACTTGTAAGTGAGACTTTTTTTCTTTCCCCTATCAAAAAGCTAGCACATTTTGCATGGCACTGTTTGTTTTTTTTAATTTTTATTTTTTATTTTTTTTATTTTTTAGGAAATTCTGCTTTTTGAAAATACAAAAATGGCAAGAAAAGAAATAGAAGGAAGACAGTTCAAATAATAGCAAATTAGTATTTTAATATGTAGCTAATTGCATCCTACAATGATCTTTTACAGCATAACAAATTAGTTCTGTCTTAACATATGGAGTACTAGTTATAACAAAGAATCCTAGTTTATGCCTATTTTTTAATTTTTTTTTTTTTTTGTGATAAGGCACATTCAGGCTGAATATTTCATGCATACATTCATAGCTGCATGAATTTGGAAGAAAGAATCCACTGTTGTGTCTGATTATTTTCTAGATTTTTTGTCTGAAGTTTCATTTGCTTTGACTTTCACGAAGTCCTTCACCTGAATTTCCCAGGATTGTCCATAGGTCACCCAAGAAATCTTGGATGAACAGCTCACCTGCTATCCATAATTATACTTAATTTATACTATTATTTTAATGATGTTTTTCTGAAGTGTTTGCATGCATGCTGGTATCGCTAATGGCTTTTTACCTGGAGAGCCAGTAATTTTCAATGCACCCAACTCCATCAAGGGGTAATTCCGTTTGGATATTAGGAAGAATTTCTCCTCAGCAAGAGCAGTGCTGCAGTGGCACAGGCTGCCCAGGGAGGTGGTGCAGTCACCGTCCCTGAGGTGTTCAGGAGCCGTGTGGATGTGGCACTGAGGGACGTGGGCATGGTGAGGGTGGGCTGATGGTTGGACTGGGTGATCTTAGAGGTCTTTTCCAGACCTGATGATTCTGTGGTTCTGTGATAAATGCTGGGCTCACTTTTACACTGGAAAACAGTTTGCTGCATTGCTTAAATCACAACTCTGTGCAATTATTGAAGGATGTGGATATCTCCAGAAATTTGCCTATCCCCATATACTCTGTAGATCAATAAATACGTATAAAGCTATTTGTGTATACAGGTATTAGCAGGTCTGAGGTCTCTTATTTTTCCTTTCTAACTCTTCAGTGGTGTTTTGAAGCTCTGACTATCCTCTGAGGAGATATCTTTTTCAGTCTCAGAGTCCCTTTGTCCCTTTGATTTGCTTTGTTCCCTGATGCTTTTGCCGCAGTGCTCTCCAGGCTTCTGAACAAGAGCACTTTGCAGGCAGGGGCCCAGTGGTGGGGCAGGCAGCTCTGCTTTCTTCCTGGCCCACTGCCACTGCTGCTGCGGGAACCTGAGCTGAGCTGGGGTCAGAAGCAGATTACTGCACTTTCAGGGCAACGGCTTCACTTAGTGCACCAGCACACACAGCCTCTGCCTGCAGAGTCCATTTCCTTGGCTCTGACAAACTTGCAGACAACATCTAGAGTGAAGAGTAGTGTTCTTTTTTTTTTTTTTTAATTTACAAATAAGCAACTTCAATGCAAATGTACCTATCCCAGAAGGTGCATTTATCCTAAGTGGCTCCTGCTGGTTTACACACACCTCATCCTGACTCTTGCTTAGGAAAGCTGTTCCACTTGATTGCTCGGTTTGCCTCTTTGAGTCAGTGGTGGCAGGGGAATTATAAAGACGACGAAGGTGCAGCCAAGTCCCTCACAGCGCGTGCCAGATTCAAGCTGATTTAAGGCTGTACAGCCTGACTCTGGAACTTTCTTCACACAAAGGACAGCTACTTTTGGACAGTTTCTATTTTATTTTATTTTATTTTATTTTTTTCATCTCAGGAAACCTGCTGAGAGGTACACACCTTGCAAAGGCAACATGATCAGTGGTGCGTTGCAGATTGCTGGGCTGCTCCTTGGTGGCCTCGGTATGATTGGGACATTTGCAGTCACGGGCATGCCTCAGTGGAGGGTGTCTGCCTTCATCGAGAATAACATCATCGTGTTTGAAACCATTTGGGAAGGCCTGTGGATGCACTGCATCAGGCAAGCCAACATCAGGATGCAGTGCAAGGTCTACGACTCCGTGCTGGCCCTCTCGCCAGACCTGCAGGCATCCAGGGGACTGATGTGTGCTGGGTCAGTGCTCTCCTTCCTGGCTTTTCTGGTTGCCACTGTTGGAATGAAGTGTACGCGGTGCTGGCAGAGCGGCTGGCCGACCAAAGGCTATATCCTCTTGGCAGCTGGGCTCCTCTTCATCCTCTCGGGTACCACTGTGCTTGTTCCAATCTGCTGGGTTGCCAATACCATCATCAAGGATTTCTACAACCCCGTGGTCAATGTGGCACAGAAGAGGGAGCTTGGTGAGGCCCTCTACCTAGGCTGGGTGGCTGCTTTCTGCCTGTTGGCTGCTGGAGCCATATTCTGCTGCTTCTGTCGCTGCTGTGAGAAAACTGGGAGCTACAACTACTCTGTGCCTCCTCACCACCTGCCGCTCAACCAACACTTGCATGGGACCACCGAAAGTGCCTACTCTAAGAGTCAGTACGTCTAGATGCCTCCAGACTTTTCCTTGTTATTACTTTTCTTTGAACATTTTTTTTTAAGCATTCAATGCATCTGGATGGATTTCAATGAAAGCTGCCTTTGCCTCCTGTTCTGTAAATGCTGCTGTGGTCGATGCATTTTGGAGAAACCCCCAGTGGTCTCTGCTCCGGCATGGGACAGTTGTACCATATGGGAAGGTGACTGTTTAATGCTATCTCATATTCATTTGGAATAGCTTTGGGGTTGTGTGGTTTTGCTTTGGGTTGCATTTTATGTGTAAAATAAAAATGAAAGTTCCATGGTGATATGAAATACTGCCCTAATGCAAAGAAAAGGGGAGCTGAGCAGATAATTCCACTTTTTTTCTTTCCTGGGAAAGATGGGATAACAGTGAATAAGGACAAGATAACAATGGTTTAAAAGAAAAGTGTTCGCTAACAGATTGATTTACTGTGGGTTTGATGGAGAGTTTCATGAGGAATTTATTTATCAGAGGAAGGTAAGCTGAAATCCATGAAAAATACCCCTTATTTCAGAGAACGAATATAGCCCTATATTCATTCTAAATACCATCATTTTGGTGAAAGTTACTATTTCTTTTGTAATCCATAAAGGTTGAACTCATTCACATCCTTCTCTTTAGAAGTGACAGTTTTCCCTTGCAAACTCCATGTAACTCACAACATTTTGCAATATTGCACAGGTCACAAGCACTGTGTTGGCTAGCTGCCACAGGATGCTATGAAATATATGCCTTTAAAAAATGATCTTTTGGTTAGTCAAACCCATATTTTTGCTGAGATCCACTTGTACCAGCATGGTTTATAGGCAAAAGAGCATAAAAAGTGATAATATTTTCTCAAAGTTGACACCAGAACAAGCTCAACAATATTTTTAATAACAAGATCATGTACCCATGATAAAAAACAATGTAATGAAATTAAATCTACAGAAAAATAAATGTAGTTCCATACAAATTAATTTAATAAATGACCCAAATTAATCAATAGTGATAATATTTTTAATAGAATCTTGTAACCCCAGGCCCATGGAAATTAATAGCATTTTGCCTTTGACTTTACTGATGACACAATTCAATTTGTGGTGTTTAATGAGAACAACATTTTGCTCTCAAGTGTGATTGACTATTTTAAATATTTTGTAGAAAGTTTATGATGTGATCTGTAATTCTCTAGTAAATTCCTTAGACTATTACTACTTGAAAATTCAGACTCAAATTCTTCACTTCATAAAATGCAACTCTGAGCAAGCTAGAAAAAATAATCTGCACGCTACTCTAAAACTGTCTTTTTGTAGTGTTTATAAGATGCATATTAAGCTATTCAGGGGAAATTCAAGTTGGATATTAGGAAAAATTTCTGTTCAGCAAGTGCTGCAGTGGCACAGGCTGCCCAGGGAGGTGGTGCAGTCACCGTCCCTGAGGTGTTCAGGAGCCGTGTGGATGTGGCACTGAGGGACGTGGGCAGTGGGCGTGGGGGGGTGGGCTGGTGGTTGCACTGGGGGATCTTAGAGGTCTTTTCCAATCTTAATGATTCTATGTACTTGTGTATGTAACTTTATTTTTTCTCCTTATTTTAAAGCAAATTATTTCTAAATATGTACACGTGTAATGTTCATGAACTTTTTGTGTAATATAGCAGTATCTAGTTATATTTCCTTCATATTCCTTCATTAATATTTATACCCACATCCAGACTGTTTTCTGGGGGGAAAAGAGAGTGGAGGATCCTACACGAACTTGTAGGATTTATAACAGTGTCTGCAATAAAGCCACTTGTTTAGTTCAACCCTCTAAAAAGTAGGTGCAAGATCTCACTTAGAGAACTACATTCATATGTACAGCTGCACTCTAGTTATCTCTGCTGTCAAAACACAGAGTGATTCATACAGTATTAATCTAACTGTCTGAGGAAAGCTTCAGTGGAAAGTGAGATAAGTGTGACATCTTTGTAAAAGCCTTGTGAATATTGAACACCACTGCTACGCATTGGATAGTTTTATCAGTTCCTGGTAAAGCACACAATGATGTTGTAAAAACACAAAAGAAGATGCAAGAAGATTTCTAAAAGTATCCCTAGGATAAACAGAAACACAGATCCGATGAACTGTGAGAATCTCAAAGATTTCACAATACTCATCCTATATTGGCTGCAAAATATCCACCTTAGTAGGACACTATCTCCCTTAATTACTTCTAATGTACCTCCAACAATTTCCTTTAAATTATACCTTACCTGCATGCCATATCTTCAAGAACACTGAAATCAAAGCTTCACTTTTAAACGGAGCTCACCTCCCTCAGATTTATGCACTGAGTGAGCCCGGAGAGGCCTGAGCAGAGGGTGCCACACAAGGCATTATATCCCAGAACTAGTCAACTGCCTGCAACTATCATTTTCCCAGTATTAAATCCTGCAACTTGGAATTCATGTTTTTGGTTACAAACAAGAGAAATTATTTGGGAAATAAGGAACTTTACCTCCATGCATGAAAGGAAGGTCTAGTAACTTGTTCACCTTTATCCCGCACTTGGGGATATTGTGAGCATTCCTGCAGTGTGAAATGGATGTGGAGCCTTGCCAGGTCCACCAGATGTCCTCTCTGCTGTGGCAATGACTGCACAACTTGGAGGCCAGAGGGGAGGAACGCTCTGTTAAATTTCACCTGGGCGAAGGCTCAAGATTTCAATCACTGCTCTGTCATTCAGTAACTGGGCTTTCATTTCTAATGAGCCTCTTTGGAAATTCTCCTCCTGCTGCTGCAACTGTTGTGAAGGACTGGAGGGCAGAGCTGCTGTCTGCACTTCTAGGCACTACCCTCACTAGTGCTAGGCATTGAGGTGCTGAGCACACAGGTGGCTGTGGAGCCATCGTTTCAGGAGGGCCTGGATGCAACTGAGCTCTTGTCTTAAGTGGTTTCACATCTGTATATGAGAACAAATCACCTGATGCATGATGTTATCACATATCTGCAAATCTGATAAGGCCAGCTGCACGTAATGGATTTGTCTGCTTCTTTCAGGTCCCTCCAGAGTCTTCTCTTTTCTAGGCTGAAGAACACCAGCTCCCTCAGCCTGTCCCCATAACAGACGTGCTCCAGCTCTCTGGTCATCTTTGTGGCTCTCCTCTGAACCTGTTCCAACAGCACCATGTCCTTCTTGTGCTGAAGGCCCCAGAACTGAATGCAGTACTCCAGGTGGGGTCTCATGAGAGTAGAGTAGATGAGCAGAATAACCTGGACCTGGGTAGAGTAGGAGAGTCCACATAATCCTGGGTCTTACAGCCAAGAAAGCTCATTAGCGAAATATTTAAATGGCCTTCCTGCGTCATCACGGAGACCTGCAACTGACACCACCAGAAGCAGGTGCCTACACAACAGTAGAAGACCAGTGCCAGCAGACAATAATGCTTGGAGGATATTGTCTCCATTTCCAGTCTCTAGTGCTCAGAGCACCTTTAGCAGGTACAGCAGGATTTCTGAGAGTGAGGCATGATGCACAGCTCTCCCTTCCTGCTGAGCTGGAGGAAGGGCAATGTAGGCAACTCCAGCTGGTAGCTCCAGTCCTTACAGAGACATGTCTACCGCTACAATAGTACTACATTGCAGAGCAGAATTGAGAACCTAAACTAAATACCTCAGTCAATTCCTCCTCCCTTTTGCAGTCTGGATGCTTACAGCCCTTGAGTTTTCTCCACGTCTCCATCATGAAGCTTTCACCTGGTGAAAATAGCCAACTGCCCTGCACACCATGCTGCTTCCCCACTTCTCCCACTGCCCTGTGGAGCTGGTGATCACAACATCTTTCTGATAAGTCCTCACAGAATCACAGAATGACAGAATTGTATGGGTTGGAAGGGACCTCTGGAGATCAACCCCCATGCTAAAACAGTTCCCTACATCAGGTCACACGGGAAAGTATCCAGGAAAGTCTTGAACCTCTCCAGTGGAGACTCCACCACCACTCTGGGCAGCCTGTTCCAGTGCTCCATCACTATCTAAGTAAATAAGCTCTTCCAGGTGTTTGTATGGAACTTCCCGTGTTTCAGTTTCTGCCCATTGCCCTGTGGCAGTCCTAAATATTTGTTGCTTGAAAAATGAGAAGGCTTACTAACCAACTACTTTACCTGGGTACAACTGAGAGTCCCATTAGCACCATTAGTTCCTTTCATTAGTGAGAACAGTCCCATACATAGGTACAGCAGGAGAGAGCCATAAACCAGCCCATTGCTTTTCTCAGTAAATAGCTGTGCCAAAAGTATTACCAAATGTGTTTATGCAATAAAAATGTCTAGAGATGACTACACTGCTGTGTCTTTAGCAATCTATTGGTTATCATTTTCATTAAAAAAAGTTTTCATTAAGCTTAAATAAAATCTACCCATTGAAATCTAGGGCTGCTCCATTATTTCCTATCCCACCAGCAGAAGGCAATGAAAACAGCTTACTGCTTTCCTCTAAAGCAGGCAGACTGTTCCATCTTTCAGGACTGTTATGTCTGACCTCTTGAACTTCTCTTGCTTAACTTAATAATCTCTAACTTTTTCTTCACTGGCATGTATGTTAAATCTCTCCTCATTCTTGTTTATCTACTTAGTTTTGGCTGCTTCAACTCTTTCTGTAAGTTTGATGGCCAAAACTGGACAAAGTGTCCCAGAGGAAGACTTGTCACTGTTGAACTCAGTGAATGCAATTATTGCAGGTTATCATAAGTAGATTGTTGACACAAAAAAAAGCTGTATTTGAATATATTAAATGCATTTCAATTCTGTTACTTTAGGCCTCGAGATCATGAGCTTCCCTGTATTGAGGGACTTAATTATTGACAGTACATTGACCAACTCAGAGTTGAATGCAAATTTCCTACTGCAGTTCCTCTTTTACTGCCAGATACCTGAGGGTAATAAGATGACACCCTAGAGAAATCCTTGGCTCCACCAGTAACAGAAGGCAGCATTCAGAAATAGAAATGCGGCAGTTCTTCCAACATATCCTTTTGTTGTTTTACTCACTGGTAGCTTCTCTATACATATTGCATTAATTTTACTCTTCTCCGATCCTTCAGCGTCTCTGTTCATTTCCCACCACTGTGTCAGATACTTTAATAAGGTCCAACTGGATTAGATTTTCTCAACTTCTATTTTGTAGAAAATGTTATCAAACAAAAATGAATCTATTTTTTGCTAAGTCTCTGTATTTTATTTAATTTCCTATTTACTTCCAGATACTTTTTCCTTTTTTTTCTTAATGGATTTTAAATCATATCATGCAATTACATTCTGACTAATGGATATCTAGTTGTGCACAGGGTTTTCCACCTCCCCACTCATTCCATTTATTTCACTGTTCTCCATACACAATATCTCTTCTGATTTGACACATATGCTGACAGTCCTAGCTATCATATTTGGAACTGCACACGTATTTCCTTCAGTGGAAATCATTGTCTTTCTTCAATTTATGCTCGTAAAGATTTGAAATGTTTTGCTTACCTTGGATACAGTACAGCAGTTCTGTTATGTTCTCATTCTATGTCCTTATTGCAACCTAAACACAAAGAGAATATAAATACCTTTCTTAGACTCGTACACCCTACTGTGTCTCTTATTTTGCTGTTCAGCTTGTATGCCCATAGCACCTTTTTCTTTTACTTTTTATAAAGCTTTACCTTGATTGATTTTATTGAGTTGAGTTTCATTTTCCCCTTAAAATTTCTGACCTCTTTGATACATTTTCTTTGCTGGTTAACTTTTCTCTTCTTCTGTTCTACCAAATACCTTCTCTGTGAAGTAATTCATCCAGTTGAGCATGGACCTACATTCTACAAGTGTGTCTTTTTTTTTCCCATGAGATCCAAATTCCAGACACTTCCAAGGAAATTTTGAAGCCTCATCCACATTCATGTCCTTAGGTTGTTCAGTCTGATTAATAAAGAAGAATCTGATCTGAAACGGATGAGTCGTATGCCTGCAGTGCTCCAGGTATTTTTCACCTCGTTGACAATGGTCTTGTGCCTGGATACAGATATTTTAGTCTTAATCATCTTTCACATATAATTTTCTGCCTCAAAATGTGAGCTCCCCTCCCCTCTCCTCTTCTCCCCTTCCCTTCCTTTTGTCCCCCTTGCAGGCAGTGAGCTGTCACTGTACAGAGACGCTTCAGCCCCATGGAGATGAATAAGTGTGCAAAATTGCAGTGGTAGGGGTGCATCCTTGGGGCTGCAGTGGTTTACAGTACTGGAGAGGATGTTCTGAGATCATGTGACAAAAATCAATCATTTCCTGCAAAATATGTCTTCTTTGGTTTCTGTGCCACTACAAATTCTAAGTGATTTATGGCT